CCCCCTGCCACAGTGTGAAAGATGGAAAGGGCAGAGGCTGGATCAAGCAGCTACAGAAGATACAAGATCCTGTCTCAAGTCTCCTCAGATTCTTCAGAACAAGTTTGTTGGCCTAAAGATTCATATCATGTTATGTAGCCCATTTCCACCCTGTTATGTACTTTTTGAACCCAAAACACCCAAACAAAATAGCTGCACAGCTATTTGCTGTGAAGGCTCACAGTTCTCTACAAAACCTTACAAAACTGTTAGATGTGAAGCCCAGTCCTTTGAGATCCACTGGCCCAGATTCCAGACATAGGTCTAGACAAGTAAATACCACTGCTGAATTAGAGCCTTGATATCACACTGGAATCTATAGCATACCCAGAAAGCACAAAATATATGAATCCTAACTAGGACCAAGATTACAATCTTGTAATGATGAGTGTCTGAATTGTTTTGAGATTCTAAAAAGAGACATGTAAAACCTTTCTTATTTTCAAATATACCTTTTCTTCTTTGCATATAGTAAATTAACATTTACTCAGTGGGATGTAAGAGAAAATGAGTCAAAGGACAGGTAGTCCATGAAGTAAATGACAGCAGAAAACTATCAAAGCTTATTTACTAACCCCCTTGGTTCAAGGCAAATATGTATCATCTAAATTTCAGAATTAAGATTATGTCAATGCCATACTCCTTGAGCTGTATGTCTAGTCTCTAATTAAATCATTACACCCCCTCCACACACCCTACCTCGCCTTAGTCCATGCCCAAAATGAATGGGTGCTCAGAGAATGAATCAATACTGTGTAACACAGACACTGTTGGTAGCTTTGCTGATTCAGTTGCTTCTGCTGTTGTAAGAGGTAGAAAATAAGGTGGGGGATTGGGAAGTGTTAGTTTTGAGTTCCTGCCACATTATGGGTGCAGAAGCACAAGAAGCACAAAACAATTAGCAGAGTCTACACTATTAGAAAATACTGATTAATTTGCATCTTAGCTATTTACTTCTTAAAATTGCTAGCCACAAAGTTAAGAAATCACAAGGTAGATTTTTAAAATGAGTAATATTTCAAAGTCATATTAATAAAATGTTATATATTGGGTTTGTGCCTATCTCCACTTTTAATCCCTCCTGTCCAAAGCCAATCCTGCCCTTATGACACAGCTATTACTGCTGACTCTCTGAAATACACCATATCATTATTTTAATTCTACTACAGCTGCTTTCTCATCCACATGTAGACATTCACCCTCAGTAATTAACTAATACTCCCCCAGACATCAGAGGAACCCTGCTCACCATAGCTTCCACTCCTACCCAACGTGGCAGCCTCTGTTCTGCCAGACCGTCCCACACCAGTTTTCTCCTGTCACAATGACTCCTGTATCTCCTAAAGCTATTTGTACTCATTCTCCTAAAGCTATTTGTACTCATTCTCTCTTCTCACAGCTGTTTGTGGCTGACTGCAATGGTGGTAGGCTCCCTCCACCTTCCTAAGGACAACTCTAGGCATGCCCATCCCCACATTTCACCTCTTCAATCTCCTCACAGAAGATGCTGTTGGGAATGAAAAGCAGAGGAACAAAGAACTTGTTGCTCACAGGAATTAATTTTTCCCTTGAGTGCTAGAAGGGAAACTTCACTTGCTTCCTGCAGTCTGTTCGAGGTGGGGAGAAATGGAATAAACAGCAGGCCAGAGATGATTTTTTCTTCTAAGACAGGTCAGGAATTAATGAGAAATTTATTTCATGCCATTAAGGCACAGATTCCAGTTTTAGCTAAATTTTATCACCTACAAAAATAAAGCAAGACAAAGGTGACAATAGTATTAGGCAAAAAATAAAGGCTTGATATATCGTAAAAACAATCCAGAAGAGTGATAAATAAGAAAACCATCTATATCCCAGCTCAAAGCTTTCAGAAAAACAATTCAAGAAGAGATTATAGATGATCTGTAGGTTTTCTTTATGCTGATTGGTAAATTAAAATGCCCAGGAGTGTTTCTGGAATACAATCATCTGTAATGAAATTTGTTTTAGAATTTTTTTGGTAAATGGTAAATTTTTTTGCAGGCCAATAATAAATAATTTTTGGATAGGGTTTGGGAGCTACCATAGGCTAAGGACTGTTCTCAGTTGGCCATCTGTGTATGACCATCCCTTATGGAAAGCTGGAAAAAAGCTTCCAAGACAGCTTATACACGAGCCCAGACAAATACTGGAAAAAACTATGAGTGTTGGTCATTCAATGCCTCTGTACTAGCAAATAGTCTCAGGCACATAAGATTTCCCATGATAGATATAATTATACAGATGCAGCAAAAAACTAAAGGTAGAGTGAAGCTAAGGTTGCTTAAGATAGTCACACCACCTGACTCCACAAGGACAAAGCAATAAAGAGAAAAAGAAGATAGAGCTTCATGATAAGTTGGATGGCTTTTTCCAAGTAAGACATTTATCAGAACTGAATTTCCAGAATCTTCAGAGATATAAGGGAGCAGATCCCAGAGGCTCACTTGGCTGCCAGGATATCAGTCATCCACAGAGACCTGCACAGAGCGTTATCATCTCCCAAAACTTCATAGCTGCTCAGCTGAAATAATTCAGTACCTTCAAAGAAGAAAGGACAAAGTATTCATATCATGCCATTATGCTCTTTTTAGGCTGTCCCGATTTAATTTATGTCAGTAAGAAAAGGTTGAGTCAACAGATACTGTCACAATGGCCTAGTATAACCTAATGTCAGAGCTTTTCACGTGGTTTTGACTGGGCAGCTTCTTTTGTGTAATAGCTTAGTCTTTGTTCCTTCCCTGTTCCCCCCATACACACATATGCCTCTACCAGTTCTAAGGAAGAAACACAACCCTACCCACGGTATTCCCACAACCATGGCAATGCCAGTACTGCACTCCAGCACATTCTGACTTGCCATTAGAGAAGAGACAAGGATGGGACAAAGGGGCTGGGGAAAAGGAAGTTTCTGTCCAATGAACTGGACCTAGCCAGTCACTCCACTTGCCTTACATCCCCCTACTGCCACTGGCTCTTCACATGGCTGTCAGAAGAAAGATCTTTTAGAGGGAAAGAGAGAAATGGTGTGAAGGAAGAGACAATGTTAAAATTTAATTTTCTTTGGGCTTTTCATATCCTACCAAGATTATTCAGGCAGTCAACAGCAGCGATCTGTATGTACTCAGCATACAAAGAGGCTACTCCTCCCAGATAAAACTGCAAGTAATAATTGAGAACTACAGACACAGGAAACTAAAAAACAAACAAAAAAAACCAAACAGCACACCTATAGCCATCACATGTATAATTGGATAAAAGAGCTTTGAACTAACATAAAAACTTAAGCAAGAGCATGTAAGAATGTCCATGCTGTGGCAATTGACTTTCAGCAAAGCACTTTGTTCAGCAAAAGCTATAAGATGCAGTAAGCATCTGAAAAAAAGAAGACTAGGAATTGCCAGTTCTGTGGAGGATGACCAGCAGATACTGATTTTGCACATCTGGGAACTCCTGATATTGAATAAACAATAATGTTTGCCACGGCAAGTGTGTCATGAACTACAAAACGGCACAATCATGACATAACTATCCTAGAGTCACCTTACAGAAAGCTTAAAGCACCAAATATTTCAAGCAAAACAAACCCAAACCACTAAAACCAAACATACCATTTCAGCAAGGACCAGAATAGTCTTTACTGAATAAAAAAGACAACATGAGGGAAGAAGATGGAGTGACAGTGGTTTAGGTAGTAAATGGTTTCACAACGCTCTTCAGAGGTTTGCCTCAAGACTTCCACGACTGGTGACTTCTGGACCTCATACAGGAGATCCAGAAGGGAATGATTTCAGAAGTGTTTATTTCAGACGACTTTGAATTAAATCTCATGGAGCACAATGTCATTTGACGTTTAAAAAGTGATGGCATCAGCACTAGGACCAAGGAAGCTTGCTTTCCTCAGGGTTTGTGTCTTGTGATTGACTGCGGGGCTGTGGTCAAATTCTTTTCCCCCTGATTAAGGCATTTGTAAACAAACACTTGCTGCCATGTGGATTCTCTTTCTCTTAGTAACATGTGAGCCATGAATGCCTCTCCTACAGGATTCCTCTCAGGCTTTTCTCTCCTCACTCAGTGGGGCATATTTTCAACAAACTAATTGGACCTTTCCCTCCCCTTTTTTTTCCTATTTAGAATTTAACCATCTGTCAAATTAATTTAAATCATGTGCAGAATTATAAATCACTGTTAAGGTTGGGGAGAAAGGAGAGAGACAAACCAACACATAGGTGCCAAGTAACTGCCAAAGTACCGTTCCTTTAGTTACCCTGCTACAAACAAGGACAAATCAAGGATAAAAATCTTTAATAACCAAAGCACGAACACAGATAGTCTCATAAGGTAAACCTGACATAGTATTGTTTAAAATTATTAGAATTATCTACCTTTTCTTGAAAGGTCTTTAAAAAAAACAGTGACTTGGTATGATTTCCTTCTTAGGATGAACACTCACCACATTTATGACATGAAGACTGGCATATTTGAAGTGTACATATGAACAGATCCAGGAGAGATCCCAAGTGCTGACTGATGAACGATATAATGATTTGGATGAAACTTAAAAAGTGACAATTTATTACTGTCGGTTAAGACCCCCTGAATTCACCAACAAAGAAAATTCCAGAAACCATCCAGTGCCAAGAGCAACACCATAAAACTGCTGCAACATGAAGTTGTACTTTGGGACAGAAAATCCAAAGTCACTCCACAGCTTTTTCCCAGCTATAAACTATGGAGCAAATCATCAAATACAAAGTAGTTATGACAATTACCACACCAACATGTTGTCTCTTGTGAGTTGACAGAGCATCTGCATAATGTCATTTATGAAAATCAACATGAAAGTGTTAAGAATTATGAATTTTTTTAATAAATGAATATAAATAGGTCACTTGTAACTTTATGACAATGGAATTAAAAGACAACAATATCAATAAACATAGATTTTTATATATAAAAGTGTTGTTTATTGTAAGGAAACTTTAAATATAACCAACAATATTGAAAATATCATGACTGGCATTTATGGCCTTGATTGTAGTTTACTGCCGTACAAGTAATTTCTAGCATTTTTCTTAGTCACATCAAGCCAGTGCAAAATATAGGTAGCTTTTAGAGATTAAGCATACAGAATGACAAGAGTGTAGATTTTGGTTACCTGACATTTCCTTCTAGTTTAACAGGCTTCTCTTTTATTCCATAAATCAAAAGTACAAAGGCAAGTTATCATATGTGCAATTATTCACACCAGGTTTCTAGGTAAAAAAAAAATTACATTGGTAAATTTTGCTCAGATTGTACTTTTTTTACGAATCTGACTCATAATTTATACCATACTGCATGATATAAATGATATATTATTATATAATCATAATTTCATATACAGGTATGATTATATAAATTGTCAGAACATATCACTAACTGTAGGGTAGTGATTGCATCAACATACACAAATGTATGGCATTAGAAAAGTCATTATCTAAGAAGGAAAGATGTTATAATTCAGGTGTTTGAAACAGGGCATAAGCAGCCTTCCACCAACTCTTGCAGTGTTATTTTGGCAGAACTACTGCCCATTGCCAGTATGTGCACGAGTTTTCCATGTACATCAACAGACAGGTCAGTAAGCAGTATTAAAATTGGGCCGTGCCTGAAATTTCCAGTCACAGACCCTTGTAAGCAATGAGCCCTGTGCTCCTAATTCAGATGATATTCCCTCTCCTCAGTCTTAGAAGGTATCCCATGCTATTATGGCTGAAGACATTACTTCATGATGACCTACTAGGTTTTTGAAAGCAAGACATGTTAGGTTTAACAATAACAGATGTGTGCAAAGCTTTGGAAGTACTGATCTTTTAAGTTAAAAATACTTTTACACTTCCTGATAAGGATTTTCAAGGACAAGCTTAGTTTAGCATGGCTTTCAATATCAATCACTTTAGTAATTGACTCTGATCTTTGATAGCTAAGATTAGACTGCAAGAAGAGAGATATACAGCGATCATTTCATTTGAAACAGGTAAAAGATTTAACATAAAAAAGGTGAGATCTAAAAAACAATTAACTAGAGAACAAGCATAGATAAAGAAGACAAAATGCATAAATATAAAACAAGGGAGAAGGAAAACAATATAGGTTATGTATGATTAGGTAGAACATGACAATGACCCATGCCTTTGCTTTGAAAGCACTAAGGTTAATTTGTCAGCTGTCCTCACTCATGTACAGAATGCGTATAACTAATAAAAAATGCAGTTTATTGCAAAGATACACAAGTCCTCTAAATTGCATAAGATATTACAATGTCGTGCTGAAACATGACATATTAAACAAAGAGGACTTTAAAACGAATTACAAAATGTTAAAAATCAGATTTGGGTCATGAGCGTTACACAAAACGCGTTGTCATGCTTTATCTTACGATTAATCTTGTGATTAACTACATCTGTGATAAATGCAACATAAAATCATGACAATTGTAATAGAAAGTAATATCTACTGTATATCTTCTGTATTAATACATATAAACACTTTGTGTGCACTAATACTTTCAACATATCACATTCAAACTAACAGTCTTTCCAGAAAAGTTGTAACGTTTTTTGAAGAACAGAAGCTGGTTTAACAAGTTCATCGCATGTGAGGGGTCTTTTTTTAAATCTATTCTTTATGGAAATGCTGTGTTAAAGGATTTGATTTCCAAAGGTGCTGTGCTAATACATGTCGTCCTAATAGCAGGTGGAACCATCAACTCTAAGCACTTTTAAAAATCAAGTCCACAATTTAATGAATTGCTATTTTGTTTACTAGTATTCCCACTGTAATAAGTAAAAAAACCAGAACAAAACAAAAACAAACAAACAAAAAAAACCCCAACCAAAATCAAACCAAACCAAAAAACCCCAAACCCACTCTTAAAATCACAGAAAATGCTTGGCATCTATAGGAAGAGAGACAATTTCTCAGTGGACTAACCACTACTGTGCTATATTCTCATAACAGATCTTGTTGCTCCACTGTTTAGTTCATGCACTGGTATCGGCAATGTCCATGTTTGTTCCAAACAGAGCAACTAGCTGCTCTTCATAGTTTGCAATGTTTCTTTTCAGAATTTCCATACAAGGTCCCAAAAGCCTTTCAAATGCCTGCACGTCCATAACTAAGACAAAAAGGGAGAGAAAGAATATGATGTGCTCATCAGTTACAGACATTAACCCTGATATTTATGACATTCCAATGTAAAATTTTAAATGACAACAAAACAGATACTACTGTATAATTAGAAAAAGATAATTAGGAGCTAAACACCAGACCCTGAAAAGCAATGTATGCAAAGGGTTGTTTATGAGCACAACTCCTATAGTCTTCACTTTTCCTGCGCCTGAGATTACAGTGTGATGGAATGATTAATTAACAGGTGGTGAAGACAAAGAGTTTGTTAAGAGCTTAAATCATGGTGATAAAATGGGACAGGATTTTTAAGACTTATTTCTTAGATGACTCAGTCTACTGAGAAAAGAAATACTTTACCTTTCTGCAGACTATTAGACATTAATCTGATAGTTATAAATGGTTTGCAGCAATACTCTGCACAATTTTTAATTCTGTGCAATAAGAGAAATGTTGGAGAATTTGTGTTTAATAGTATTTATCAATTGCAAATAATTTGTGCAGCTAAATAACATAGATAGGAATGCACAGCAATAGCTGATGTACTTAAACAGCCTTATTTAGGTAAATGTTATTAAATCTTATATTCTGGAGAAAGACCGATAAATACAAATAAAACCAACCAAATAGATTATGTATCATTTTATATTAGATATAAAATATTATTGAACAATACCTAAACATTTGACAGTGCCAAGAGCAAATGCAGACGCAGCTCGTGGTTTGTTAGTTACAAGAGCAAGTTCTCCAAAATACTGTCCTCTTGAGCATCGAGCTATTTCAACTGCTCCATTCTCTTCTAGATCTTGTTTACCCTGAAATATCATGTAAAAAAAGAAAGAAAATTATGAGTATGAGGGAGAGACTTGCTGAACTCAGGATTGAATAAGTGAAGTTAGTGACAATGGTAGCATCACCATCTAACACTTACAACAAATCAATATTAAAAAAAAAAAAAAAAGTTCAGTGTTTTAGGGATGTTTACCTTCCTTGTCATTATAATCCTTACTTCACCAGATTCTACAATGAAGAAAGAATCAGCCAAGTCACCCTGCACAAGACAAAAAATAAAGTGAGTAAAGGAAATATAGTTTCCCTTTTAGTTTCATTAACATTAAAATATTTGCAACCAGTGCATTGAAGCTCATCTTTCTGATACCTGTTGGAAAAGAAATCACTTTTAATTTGAAAACCATACTCTAGGCACATAATCAAAACATCTATATGGAACTGCCAGCAAAGACTTTTCATGGAACGACATAGCTGACTGTGCCTTATACAAAAACCAGAAAACCAATGTTATGGAAGATTTTTAGGATACTTACTACTGTTTCTCCACTTCTGTATTTCTTTGAAATTATTTCACTTACTGAGTTTCCAGTATAAAAAGCCTCCAAGGGCTATTTGATATCCAGTATTTATCTGGGGGAAGACAATCTCAGTTGCCTATTCTGAAGAGTTTATTTCTGCATTCTTTTTCAAAATGCTACCGTATTTTAACAATAAAAACAAGTTAAGTCCTCAGAGCTCCTCATTGGAAACATGTTTATGTAATTTGAGTTTCTAAGTATACTAAAAGTGTTGTTGACTCCTTTATTATACCAACAAAGAGGGCTGTTTTTCAAAGTACTGTAAGTGAAAAGTTAGCTTTTGAAACAAAATAATCACCTCTCTCAGATACAAGATTCATTGGTTTTGTTTAGGTGAGAAAAAATATAGTTTAGAAGTATGCATTGTCTATAGATAACATGATTACTGTTACATATTAGAAAAGAAAAACTAAAACTAGAAATAAACTGTACCTGAGCAATGATTTGTTCTCCATCTTTGTACACTTTGGTACCAATCACATCAACCACTTTTAAACGCTCAGACATCTTCATTTAAAAAGAGAAAATGTAGAAATATTTAGTTAAGATTATTATATTATATATTTAGAAAATACTTTCATATTTCTTTTCATGGATCTTTGCACAGAATAGTGTATCTTGATTTTCCTGTTTTGATAACCATTAAAAAAAGAACTGCTGAACAATGTTCCAGAGGGTATATTACAGTTTTAATACCCAGGTATTTTGATAGAACTTCCATTTTTGTAAGAAGTCTATATATTCCAAGTCTTCAAAAATTATTTTTAAATACAATATTAACAATAATTCTTTATCCCAAATTTAAAAAAACCCCAAAGCATGCAAACTTTTATAGTGGAGAAACTTTGAATTCCAAATTTAAACTCTTGAAAACCAGAATCTTATTAGACATCTCTGATACAGTCATTAAAATAATTCGATAGAAATCTTACTTCTAAAGATTTAAGGAATGGCAATGACTCAATAAAACTTTCATACATTCTTCTCTTTTTGGCATTATTTTTTACAATGATTCTTCGGAATGTTACCCTGTCCTGAAAACACAAAGAGAAAAACAGAGTTTATTAACAGAAAATATGTGTGTGCTAGAAAATACTTTAGAAATGGCTGAATATGTTCAAATTACCCCATTTTAGTCACTCAATATAGCTGTCAAACTAGCTGGCCAGTCTCTCCCTACAATCAGTTGCAAAAGATTCCTCTAGAGGTCAATCGAGAGCTCCTAAAGTAAAGCTCCTGATCTGATTTATGTTATGAAAATCTCTGCTCTTTGGCAGAGAGTACATGCTAAGTTCACATACAGAGGGTAGAGAGTTTACATTAAACTGTGAACATTGAGTGTGTAATTTAAGAAATCTTCAATATTTAAATGTTTCATTTACAAAGTTTATTCATTATCCTGAGGTCCTGCACATATTGATATGTACCCCATTAGGATTTTATATTGTTATATAAACAAAACCAAAATAAATGGGTCTGGGTCTTGGGTCACAGTCCACTTTCTGCTATTTCAGCAGAACAAGATTCACTGCTGCCCTAAACAGCCAACTGGACATTCCTTAGTATTTGGCCACACAAGTGAACCAGACAGATGCAAAAACTACATGAATGCTGTTTTCTTCTCTTGACTTCATATGACTGTATCCTGGTGACAGAGGGGAAACACACTGCAAGCCTTCACTGATACAGGTGGGACTTACTGGCCAATGCAACCCAATCCAATTTAAAGCCATTCTTACAGTGTCCTTATAAAATCCCAAAAGTCACATGGATTAAGCTGGTGGAAAACCACGTTTCACTTCAATGGCAAAATGTAATCTTGGGATCAGTCATTAGATTGGTATGCATATGAAGAAGATGGCCATTGCAGTTTTACTCTTTAGGTAAATTCTATTACTGTTCAAAGATCCAGGTAGTATAACCTCATACTGGGAATTTTACTCTGGAACCAAAGGTGTTTCCAATCAAGATGTGGGAGAAAAAGAAAATTATATGCAATTGCAAACTGGGTAATTATAATTAAAATAAAATTAATTTCTTTTTTTAAAAATCAAGTGTTTTCTTAAGCCTCAGATTTGCATCTGCAGATTCTGAAAAAAACCCAGCATTGTGTCGGGAGTTCTCAGAATTTTTAGAATTAAACTTTCTGAAATCATAATTTTTTTTAAATGCTGATAATAGCATGCCAGTGCAATTTATACAAAATAGTTTTTTTTAAAATAGCTTAAAACAAGTATTCCACTTACCAAACCCCAGATGGCACCAGGAGAGGTAGCTATAATTGTAGCTGCTCTGGGTGTATTGTACATTAAGGCCAACTCACCAAAACATCCTCGGTTATCATAGGTTCCAACACACCTCCCAACACCATCGCATTTTACATAAATATCATATGTACCTCTGTTAATAAAATACATAAATACAATGAGTAGAATCCAGCCCTGGTCTTCACTAAGCAGCCTCTCACTATATTTTTTATACCGTGAATTCCAAAGATAAAGTATTTGAAACATACATTTGTTTGTTTATATGGTGTTAAATACCTTGTAGAGACAACTCAATGACTTCTATAAATAATAAAAGTGGTCTCTTTTTAAAGGGAAGGATAGGGCTATTAGTTTTTATGTTAACTCAGTTTAAAGACAGACTGGATGTACAGTGATCTATTGGTCATCAGAACTCACTAAAATTAAGATTTAACTTACTATCTGTTTCTTAATTTTACTTTAACCACACTAAACACAAATGTCACAAGTCCTTGCAAAAATTGTTATGACAAGATAGCTGAAATAATAATACAAGTTATTTAATATTTTAAATATTTTACAGTAGTAATTTATAATGAAATAAATAAAGGAGAAGCAGGAAACACAAGGAATGTACCTGAAAAGCAACATAAGATTATGAAATAAAGATATATATGTGTCTAATATATTGTGCATTTAAATCAGTAACTTTTTTTTGCTTTGGGAATGCAGTAAAACCTGGTATCTTGTAAAACATGATGTTATCACCCCCATTAGTGCTGAGCCATCATTTTGTTCAGTGCTGAATATTTGTATGCTATGTGTTGATAAATCATGTGAATGTAATGCAAAAATCTGTGCAATTATTTCACTGATAAGGGACATAGAGGTGATTCACTGCACCTAAAAACTGCAAGGCTGACAGAATATTATGAAGTCCCTGCAGCCTTTTGCATAAGAGATGACAAACTATAATCTCACAAAAGCTGAAAAATACTCTTTCCACACAGAATCTTGACACACTTCCATGATCTCCTTATTTAATATTTCAGGTAAAAGGGTACTACAACAATCATCTAGTCCAACTACCTGACCGCTTCAGGGCTCCCAAAAGTTAAAGAACGTTATTAAAAGAATTGTCCCAATATTTCTTACATACTGACAGGCTTGGAGCATACAACAATCTCTCTAGGAAGCCTGTTCCAGTGTTTGACCACCCACGTGGTAAAGAAATGCTTCCTAATGTCGAGTCTGAACCTCTTCTGGCACAGCTTTGAACCATTCCCATGAGTCTTACCACTGAATACCAAGAGAAAAGCTCGGTATCTCCCTCTCCACTTCCCCTGCTCAGGAAGCTGCAGAGAGCAATGAGGTCGCCCTTCAGCCTCCTTTTCTCCAAACTAGACAAACCCAGAGTTCCCAGCTGCTCCTCACAGGACATTCCTTCCAGTCTTGTCACCAGATTTGTTGCCCTCCTCTGGACACATTCAAGTAACTTCACATCCTTCCAAATTGTGGGGCCCAGAACTGCACACGGTGTTCAAGGTGAGGCCACACCATCACTGAATACAGTGGGATAATCATGTTTTTTGACCATCTGGTTGTGCTGATCTACACTGATCAACAGCCTCTGCATTTCTTTTAGAGTTCTAGCATAATCTTCCTATCAAACGCTCCCAGAAATCACTGCATTAGCCTAAAACTACAGTTACATTTAAGAAAAGGTGTTTTGGGACAGCCTGGCTGGAATCTGTGCCAACAGACTAGTGAAGTATGCCAAAATAAATGCTCTTCCTAGCTCACTGATTTCAACAGTAACGATTATCTTGGTTACCTGCTTTGTCCATACAGATCTCCAAATGCAAAGTAAAGACTTAGCTCCTCAAGGTCTAATTATTTTCTTGCAAGCAAGAAAATCTACAGGTAGTACTGAAAAGCAGTAAGATTTCAAATATTGAGCTGTAAAGCTTTTAGCATTGTGTTTTGTGTTAGATCTCTTTCCATGTTAAAAAACAAACCAAACCAAACAAACAAAAAACCAAACCAAACAAACAAACCAAAATAAACCCTCATCTTTGGAATCTAGCAATACATAACAGGAACATATTTCCATATAAAAAAGCTGCCGCCTTTAAGAAACTGCTCTCCATAGCTCAGACAAGAGCCATACTGGTTCACATGTGCTCTTTTTTTTTCTCCCATGCAAATATATGTAAGAGTTAAATACAAGTTCACAGAATATAAGTCTTTCTGAATGACTTTTGAATAATACTTTGTGCTCTAATGAGACACAGCAATTCACCTATCAATGACGTAGAAGTTGTCACCATCATCTCCTTGATCAATAACATGTTCCCCTCCTTCAACCAGCTTTTCAAACATCGCATCCAACACCTGAGACATCTGTTCCTGTTTAAAAGAACACAAAGACAAGAAATTATCATCTGCTTTTAAACTTCACTCTTCAAATTAACTAACTGGCCAGCTTCCCAATATGCAGATAAAAAATGTTAATAGGTGGAAAATATTCATGCTACAGAAATGTGTGGATCAACAGAAAGACAGTTTCATTTAGTATTCAGTGTTATCTTTTTCCTCTTCCACTGTTCAGAGCGCAGCTTCCCTTCTTGTCCTTGCAAGTAATAAAATAGATCTTCCCTACTCATGACCATCCAGAGAGAATTCTCAACTGAGTAATGTTATACCATTGAAAGAAAAAAGTGTATCTCTTATTGAATATGATAAACTTACCTGATTTTGTCTTCACAATTATCTCACTGAATTTAAAGTTTCAAAATTATTCAAAAATCTAAATTATATAATGCCTGCAGAATGTTGGGCCAGATGTAATAATAAAGGTCAGCAGTTCTTTGGTTAAGTATGTAAATGCTGGACTCATTGGGAAGTAGAAATTTACACACAGTTATAAAACTACTTTGTTAATTTGAATGGAATACAAATGTTTACAGAGAAATGTTAAAAGACAACAACGTGATCATCGGAATTACAACTGTCTAATAACAAAACCAAATCACTAATTACATAATCTGTGTTGTTTGGTGCAAATTTGCTAAAACTTGACTATTCACATTTAAAAAAACCAAATACAGTTCATTGCAGATTAACAATGTGGCTTCTAAAAATATAATTTAAAAATTTAAATTTTATTTTCAGTTTATCCCACAATATACCTAAAATTCTACCAATAACCACAAAATCATACTTTACTTGTTGAAACTTATTAAGTATGTATCATACTGGAAAGAGCAGTTTCTAGTGAAAACCATGGTAAAAGAAAAGCCTGCACATTTGCAATGGTTCAATTCATAGCCTTTCCAGTCACTGAAAGATGGATGGCATTTGCCTTTCTGGAGACAACCAGTCTAAGCCAGTCCTGTAGAGTCTTTGTGGAGCCCATGGACAGAGATAACCACATAAGATAGTTCAGAATGAATTTCATCCTTGTGTTGTTAAATTTCTTCACTTATTGAAAGCTTTTAAAAATATTAGCAGTACCATGTTATCCAAGTCTTTTTGAAAAATGGAAGCTAAATAAAATTTTACTTCACAGAGTTCACTGTGTGTGGGCACAAAGAACAAAGGAATGGCAGCATCCATCCTTTGTACAGCTGATGATGGTAAAGTACAGTAAGACATCATGCAGCCCTCCTAGGCCAGCAAAGAATCATTTAACTATGTCTCTATTTAGCTGGTACCTTTGTTAGTATAGACAAGTATGCATTTGCAAAAAGAAGGATCATTGTAGGTGTTATAGTGAATGTGTTATAGTCCATTTCAGAGAAAGAGAAAAGTGTGGGTGGGTGCCATTGGGGGAGACTAAAAATTAGGGGCAGGACTTGCCTTTTAAAAACTTCCATGCTTAAATTAATAGGTAATATTACTTCATTTTTTACAGTCCTTCCTATGTGAACTAAAAGAAACTCCTACAGAATCTTCAAAACTGACCTAATCAGTTAATTGCCTGAGGCATTTGAAGCAGCACCTTCCCTTTCTCTTGCTTTACATCTCTCCAACCAACAGCCCTTGGCTGCCATTTGAAAACAAGTAAGAATATATAGAATGCTCTACACTTCATGGAGGCTAGAGGCTATATGTTATCCTCTAAATGCAAGCAATGCAAGAAAAATGCATTATATGAACCTCAATCCTTGGAAATTAAAATACTTTAAAAAAAGCCCCAGACAGGAATGACAACTGCTTTACCAAGGACATCCCCTTGGACCAGTGTGTGATCCCATCCCTCCTGCCAGGTCAAGTGAAAAACTATAAATAAACACTCACTCTCCTATCTTTGTATCACACAAAGCACTGTCCTCCAGATGCATGTTGTTTTATTTGAAATAGTACGTTAACCTCAATTTCTCTCCAGTCAACAAAACAAACATAACACTCACATCTCAAGATAATTCCTTGAAAAAAAATAGTCGGTGAGATAATAGACATTAAGTATAGTTTAAACTACATTTTATTTAGTGTAAAACTTTCACAGATTAAAAATCCAGTCACTTGTATGTCCTTGCAAGACAGATTTTGATTCATTCAGGAGAGCTGGTAGACCATGGCATGTCCTTCCCAAATGTCAAAGGCTCTTTTAACTGCCAAACTATCAAGTGCTTTCCTACTGCTGTGCCAGGTACATGTCTTCTTAATATCAATTTATAAACTTACTGTGAGCTGTTCTGTAAAGGAAAAAGGACAAAGTTCTCCGCACTAAACTCCAACACTGGGGCTTGCAAGAAGCACTGATATAAACATTTGTTGTTTGACAAAGTGCTACCTGAATCAATGAAGACACTGTAGATAAAATGGAAAGTAGGACATAATCATCACTGGTAGTCATGACAATGACAAATATAGAAAGCAAGTTCTGAAAATTTTCCTTCCCCCCTATTTAAGAAAAGGAATTTGAGAGATAGAAGGCACAGCTACATTTCTACAATTAAAATGACGTGGTGTCTAACAGCAAACCAACACAATCTTAATCTGGCATTTGACAGGAGCTGGTAAAATCCAGATATTAAGATGGGTGCAATAAATCTCTAAAGTAATGGATAGTATGTTGGGATTATATATGCTTGGAAATCCCCAAAAAGAAGGATGAGTGTGCTGCTGGAGTGCTCCTTGGTACACAGGAAATCTCAGTTAATTTTCCTTTTAGATCCAAGACATCCTGCACAATTAAGTGGGCATAAGATTGCCTTGCACTTTAGTAAAACAGTAGCAACAAGACTTGCCTATCTCATATGGCTTGTAAAAATTATAATGTTCTGAGACACAATCATACGACTATCATGAGAACAAAGTGAATCCACACTTCTGTTGTCCCTGAGTTCATAAACCACTTCATGCTTTCCTCCTACAACCATTCTACTAAAATGAGCCCCAGTTAAAATGGCATCCTGCTGGCCACCTTATCCTCACTATGTGAAATATAAAATATCAACGAATTAATATTCAACATGATATTAGGAAGTCAACGAAGCAGACAGAATACCAAAATAGGGAGCAAGAGATGGGGAGGGTGAGAGGAGTGGGGGGAAGAGAGGGAGAAAATGTTGGTAAAACAGGCAAGGAAATCATGGGAAGAAAAGGACTTCTTAATCAACAAGTCAGGACCTTGTAGAAGAAGAGTAGATCACAGAATTCATGTCTACAGCTCTCTGCATTTGTTTTTCACAACAAAACCGTGTATATACACTCCTCAGAACTCTGATATAAATGTCAGCAGCAATATTGATCCAATTCAAAATATTTAGTTCCCTTGTGTAATATCCACTTGTAAACTAATTAAAAGGCATTTATTTCCTCACTATCAAAGAATCTACTTTGTATTTCAAAGTATAATCAATATTTTCAAGTGATAATATTTTTCTTGAGAATATACCTTGCCTTTTCTCCACATGTGTTAAATTAGTATTCTGCCTCTCAAATATCATGCACATGCCCATCAGTCAGGTTCAGTAACGCATTTCATACTTTGTAACTAGCCCTCTGAGCTAACTGACTGATTCTTTTTAGCAGTTTGTTAAAAAAAATTAAAAAGAGCAGAAATAATTCAGAGTTGCAAATAGTTTCCAAAATTCTTAAGCCAAATATGAAAGTACTTTACATTGTGCCGTTCTTTTGCAGAACATCTTCAACAGCTGATTAGAGAATCACAGAATAATTTAGGTTGGAAAACACCTTTAAGATGATTGAGTCTAACCATTACCCAGCACTACCAAGCCCACCACTAAACCATGTCCCCAAGGACTACATCTACACGTCTTTTAAATACCTTTAGATTCCATCACTTTCCTGGACAGCCTCTTCAAATGCTTTGACAACCCTTTTGGTGAAGATCTTCTGTTAGGAGTTACAAGGAATGCTTTGGCCTTAAGTATAAGAATCCACTATTCATAAAACAGTTACATTATGCTCTCTTTCATCTTCCTTCAAGTTAATCAATTCTAATTGATTAATCAATATTTGTGCTCTCTTATACTAATTCCCCAGGTACATGAGTGGCAATATGCCCAGAAATTGCTACTGATTATTTGTGAACAATATGTATAATTTATTACCTTTTGTAAAAGGGTCAAGACCTATTTTAAATATTCTCTACAAGCATTAGCAGGGCAAAGCTCTCCAACATAAAATTTCCCTGAAAGAGAATAGATGATCTAACGCTGCTTCTGAATTTTTGCAAGCGACAGGATTCAACCTTAAAGCGCGAGGGCGCGGCACAGATTTGACGGCACCAGTCCATTGAGCCACGTTGTTACTCTGATAAAAGGTTCCTCGGGTTTTTTAACTGCTGCCCTATTGGCCATAAAAGCCAAACCAAATAGCCTGTTGGTAATCACCCCAGCAAATTTTCCTTTTAAGAGACAAACCCAACAGAACAACAACTCTGAATTGCATTGTAAAAAGGAAGAGTAGAAGGCTGCCTTGGACACTAGATGAGCTGCTGCTCCTGGTGACAAAACAGTTGTTAGGCTGAACAGAGAGAAATTTCAGTAATAGCAACTTGGGGCCTGTCCTAATGGCTCAAGACATTTGTTCACCATCTTGTTTTCTCCTTGCTGGCTTACACTAATTGGAAGTGGAGGGGAAAGGGGGCATGGAGCTGCTGATTCCACTGCTAGTAATCTCCAGCATCTGGAGCACAAAGGAGGTTGGGGCAACATGCTCTGTGCATGCAGGTAGAATAAGCAGCCTGGCACACCATGGCAAACCTAGGAAAACAAAAGTAATATGGTTTCTGGCACTGGGGTAGCAGGTAACTGAGAAGAACAATAAATAATATTATGGTCTAAGAGAAAGAAGTTTTTCTGGGAAGAAAAACAGGAAGAGATGCTTTAGAAGAGGAACGAGTTAATCTAATATAGGTTACATTAACAGCATGGGGAGAAGAATACAAACATCTGAATAGACCTTCCTCTTCTAATTCACTCATCCACGTGGTTCCGCTCCTAGAATTTCTCAATTCTTTTCTGATCCGGTCCTCTAAAACTAGCCAAACACCTCCGCAAAACCTTTTTCCCCCATCTTGTTGCAAATGCATGTTTCAATCAATATTTTTCTCTTCAAGTAATTCTTTCAATACAGTTACACACTAGCTAAAACTGATATTGAGTAACAGCAACTAGATGGGAAGGCAAAAAGATTGCTAAATTGCTTTAGGGAATTTAAAAGAGTTGGCCTTTAAAACATAAGTGTGGTTCAAGGAAATGTACCAGAACTGCTGTTCCTTTACACTACTATATTTTCAACCAAAGCCAATATGTGAAATATTGATATTTATAAATACTTTTGTGTAAGTTTACCTGCCTGATATTCAAAAAGTGCTATAGGTAAATGCAGGCTCAAGACAGTGTTGTGTGTAGTTGTCTCAAAGTCTGAAGGTTATCTTTTTCTCCTCTCTCTCATTTAGCCTCATGTTCAAATGTTTCTGCTGTTCTTTAATTTTATGTGATGGCTCTTGTCTGTTCAGATGATACCCTTATCTTATCCTTCCATTCAAATTACTATACAGTCTGTGAGGGTGGGATGAAGTTTTAAGAAAATGTGGACTCCACTGAGCATCATGTACTGAACACAATTCTGATCATGCTGTAAGACATTGTTATTCTGTATTTGAGAATGGTGTTTGACACCCTGCTAAAAGGCCATCAGGGAAAAGCCATTAAGTGCTTTACATTGTCTCTACCTCCATAACTGATCTCTGAAACAATGAATTTGATACACAGAACTATAGCAGAAAGAGGCTGAAGTTCAATGCAAGGAAAAAAAAAACGAAACAGTGGGAGTGGGAGATGCTATCAATACAAAGCTTGACTTTTGTTCCAGAGACTTGAGCTTTAGCAGCTGAAGATGTTATCTCTCTCTGAGATGAAGGAGGTTTTTTCTAATACACCACTCTGCAAACTGCAGCAGTTCTCATGCTGCAGGGTGGAGAAGCAGAGGTGAGGAAGAGAGCTGGCATAGGAACATTTAAATTACTGCAACTACAGTGGCAGAGCCCTTGAGTCACTGCATAGAAGGAGAACAAGAAGGAGGAGTGGGAGAAGTCCCCTGAGGACTACAGATCCTGGCTCCACAGGAGCATGCCAGACTTAAGAAGGCTGTATTTTAATACCCTTGCTGTCTTCAGAGCTCAGTAGTTTTCCAATGTCTTTTATGAGTAAAATTATTATAATGAAAAACTCTTCTACAAAAATTATCTTATTCCACTTCCCAGAGTGCTGTCTGTAAAGAATTTCAAGCAAGAATTTCTTGCTGTCTTTACAGACAGCACTCTGGGAAGTGGAATAAGATAATTTTTGTAGAAGAGTTTTTCATTATAATAATATTTCAAGCAGGAGGAAGTGTTCTTAATCCGCTGGACAACCTGAGCAAAGGTGGGTGAACAAGACTTGGGAGATCCCAGGAGTGGATTTCAAGGCTTTGGATTGCAGAGATCCACAGGGGATCTAAGGAAGCTAAGAAGTCTTCTGCTAAAAGCCTGGAACAGGCTATGGGAACTCTTAGCAATTACAAGTAACTGATTCAGAAGCAAAACCTAAAAAAAAAATGTTCAAAACATCAGTATTGAGACAGCAAGCACAGTCCTGAGAAGACCTTCACAAACAGGAAGTAACACCTCAATATTTCTTGGAAGAATCCATCCCTGGAAAAAGTCTGTCAAGTGTCCACACTGGACATTGTGTCTACACAACGTTACAATATAGCTGATTTGATGCCAACAGATCCCTATCCTGCAGACCAAGTGGCTGATGACTATTTAGACAGAAGATCTAGTTCTTGCTATAAGGGCAAGCAGATCCCATCCAGAGGACAGATACTGTAAGCACTATTAACATCACAGTAGGTTCTAGGAGTACACGATAATCCACTGGGTCACAGGGCTCGTAAGAGAGAGGTGCTCAGAGACTAACCAAGAGAGGCCATTGGCAGACTAATGTAGTGATGGTCCAGCCAAGTGGAAGCCAGGACACAGAAACAATAAGGAAAATATATAATAAAGTAATTTCACATCCAGAGCAGACGCCCACAAACAACTTTGTATCCCTGAAGCTATTCAGAAAAATAATTCAGGAGTAGAAGGGGTATCATGCATGACTTCAGCTTGAACAAGTATAGTGGAACAGCTGATTAACTACCTATTAAACAGATAGCATGATGAAATTAGGAAATCTTCTGTGTTAGGATCCCTAGTGTCCCAACAATGCACATGTATTATTAGCACTCATGTTGAGACTTCTGATGCCCTCCTATAATGCTGACTCCAGGGTTCTGCAAAGGTGGGAGTTTGTGGCTCACTGCCCTCCTCAGGGCTTCTCTGGGAAGAGGTACCTGGGGTCAGGGCTCAGCCTTTATGCAGACAGAATCAGGAGCTGGAAACCTGCAGCACAGATTAATGTGATTCTATGTAAGAGCACCTGATTTCCAAACAGAGCTGCAGACTGGCCTTTCCATTAGCTCCTTCTTGAATCAAATTTTAAACTTTCTGTTCTAATAACTTAAAACTCTACATAATTATTTTCATTTCCGCCATGCTCCCTCCCCTGACAGCATCAAATCAATTCCTTTGAGAAAGCATTTGGTATTCTGTGAGTTATCCCAACCTCAGTATGCGTGTTTTGATTGATACAATCACCTTTTCCCTTAAACAATCCTGTGCCTTTTTTTTGGTAGCATTATCACCTTTGTCTGATCCAGATCACTCATTCAGTTCATTTAAGGTTTCATAAAAGCCCATAGTTATTCTTATAGGCAACAGAAGGAAATTATTTGCATAGAATAATGTTATCTACAGCTTTTTTATGCTATCTGCATTAAGTGAAATAATAATGTAAACACTTCGCTATTGCCTTTCCCTTTCCCCCTATTTTATAACTCACTTGTTCAATTACATCCAGACTTAAACTGTAGGCTTTAGGTGTAATTTTCTGTTTTGAGGGAGCACTCAGCACCTTTTGGATGCTAAAAAGTAACTAGTAGAGACAACTTAAACATTCCAGTTAACTGATGTATTTATACACATCAATGTACAGCAAGATTTAAAATAAGAAAATACAACATTTTACAATCATAATAATGCATAGATTCATATTAATGTACTTCAAGATTATCATCTATGGTGGTGAACAGAAGACTATATGATGTATCAATTATAAAAATGTAATTTCTGGAATTTATGAAACAGTCAAGAAAGCATATGTAAGAGCTTACAAAAGTAAAATCTGTAAATTTCTGTTCAAAAGCTCGAGAATTAATTCTTAGCAGCACTGCTAAATGCTGTTCATTACAACGAATTTCTTACCGGGTCTAGGTTCTTAAAAAGAAGAATGTCCTTGCACGCCTCCTGCAGTCTGTTTCTTTGATCATCTGTTTTGGGGTGAATAATCTGAGGGATGTAAGACAAAAACTCTTAAGGTGGTTATCATATAGCAGCACTAGCTGAAGGACTGAGCTAATTCAGCTATGCATTTTACACAATATTTTGGCCATGCTTCATAACACTTTCATTTCAGAACCTTCAGGATTTGAATAAACACTCAATGATAACATGGTATCACCACACCATTAGCAAATGTGACACTGCTGTATTTAAGCTTACAAGATCTTTACACCTGTAGAATCCACTTCATTTCTGCAAGACATTCTGGATACTTTTATCTACACTATAGTTACATAAACATTACCCTACTACTCTCTGATCGTATTTGGGGCATGTATGTTTTAGAAAAAGCATCACTGTTATATTCGGTCATTTGCCACGACTACTTCCTAAAGAGTGTTTTGTGAAATAGTATGTGTGTAAAATTCATATCAGAAATTTCACAGAGTAAACAAGAGACTTGACACTATCTGAGCGAGCCAGAGATTTACTAAATTACCAATGTGTGGTTCATGTGAGTATCAATCAAGTTGCTCAACTCATATGCTTCAAAAGATATGCTAAGTATAGTTGTGATAGTATAGGGTAACCTTTTTGACAGTGTTACAAATCAGAAATTAGGTAGAACATAAACAATTAAACTTCTCTTGAAAGTCATGCTATTTCATCTTAAAAGCTAAATAAATGTGTTTCAAAGGGTGACACAAACAAAACAAACAGTTCATTAGTTATTGCATTTTACATCTAAAAATCTTAGCAATTTTATAGTTTACCTTTTTCTGCCTTATGAAAAATACTAGAATATTGAGGAAACTACTGCAAGATTGTGAGGACACCAAATAAGTGTTTTGAGGAGCAGGTGCTCTCTACGTAAATATAATTGCACAAAAATGTTTCCTTAACCACATATCACATGTTTGGTAATTTAGAATAATACATCAGGTCCTATATGGGTGACTATAATCAGAATTTTTTAATGTTCCTTTAACACAAAAACCCAAGAGCTTACTAAAGTATACTATAATAAGGATGCTTGTGGAAAGGAATGATAATGCTAGTTGCATTTTTCTTCCTAAATTTGATGCCCAAGACTTGAAAAAGTAAGTATTTGTCTCTAAGCATTAAGTACCCTAGATTCTGCGTCGTCCTCTTCCTCATCAGGATTGTAAGCTTCTGCACACACTGAAATTAAAAAAAAGTATAATTTTAATTCAAATTACAATACTGTTTCACAAGATTTACAGAACAGAAAATGCATTGTGTGGCACAGGAATAATATGCAGTAATGTAATACACTCAATAGAGAGGGTCCTAGCAGGTCAACTCCAAACTGCGTGTGAAACAAAGCTACATTTGTATAATTTTTGGACATGTTTTCCCTGGTTTGAAAGACCTCTAATATAAGTTTCACACCTAACCTCTTCTAAATGATCTTACCTTACTATCAGAATTTTTTTCTGATTTCTAAGTTAATTATTTCATGTTAGAATTCAAGCTATCCATATAGGATGGAGAGATTACATAATTCCCTTCATCTGTGTAGGTTCAAGGTGGTTTGGGGTGTGTTTCTTTGGTTGGTTGGCTGGCTCAAGCTATTTTACTGGGGGTTTTTTTTTGCATACTTGAAAACTTTTCACTCCTTCCTACCTTTCACTTTTTAGGCTAAATAATTTTGGTTCTTCAGCTTATTCCTTACAAGGCATGTTTTTCAGTTCTCTAACTCTCCTTATTGCCATTCCCCAAACTCCCTCCACTTAGCCCTCTTCATTGAAACGTGATGCTCAAATCTAGACCCAGTATTTGAACAGAGCAGAGCACTGAGTTTAACACATGAATTACTCTGCATATTTTGCAGGCTGTATGACTATTTCATCCATCATGCCTTCCTTACAACAGGTTGACTACATTTACTCATGTAATATTTATGACATATATAATTTTCAAAACTTAAGTACTGCTTAACCATCTGTCCGGTGCCTGTATAAGGCTGTTCTGTCCAAGTGCAGTACCATGCACTTAGGCTTGTTAAATATTACCTTATTTTCAAAGCCATTTCAAGATCATTTTCAATTCTAATCCTGTTACCTGGCATCCTTCCAATCCCTTCTCAACTTTGTGACAACTGCAAATTTAATAAGCATATTCTCTAAAACATAATCCAGATTATTACTGAAAAAACAGAATAGTGTCTAGAAAAAACTCTTGCGGAATATGGACGAGTGAAACAGCAGTAGGTGCTTGGGGTTTACCTTATCCAACCAGTTTTGCAGCTATATCCCATGCAACTTACATTGAGACACTGCTTCATGTTCCTTAGCTTGTTTATAGGGCAGTCTTGTAAAACAGCATTCAGAAGTTTCTTAAAATGAAAATGTAGGACTCTCGCTCCTTTTCTTTTATCCAGAAGTTTTAATCTCTTGTTACAGGGTATTAGATAGTTCCAACAAATCCATGCTGATTGCTATCTGTTACCTTCCTCCAGGCATTTACAAAATGAATATTTGTCTGTAATTTTTCTAGGAACAAAATGATCTATAAACCTATGATAGGCATATTCTCTCCATAGCTCCCCCATCCTTTTAAAAATGAGTTTTTCTATTTTTCTGGAAGGGTTTTCACATTTATTTTTCTTCTTCAGACTCTTAATGGCTATTGCTAACAGGGCTGAGACTAATTTAGACAATTCTTCCAGTTTCCAAGTATAGTGTGTCTGAGGCACAGCTAACTTGGGAACACCTAACACATAAGTTACTGTCTGATTTTTCCTTTCTCTGTTCTAGGCTGTTTTCCATATACTCTAGTGGAAACTGATGTGCTTTTGTTAAGCAGCAGAGCAACACCTTCCTGGAACATGCTCTTACCAGAAATATACTTCCAGAACAATTTCTGTTACTCCTCATGTACTTACTACTACACAATCTTTTCTTGTTCATGTTTTTTGGTCTTGGCTTCTTTGATGTGTTTTGGTTTGTGGTTTTTTTTTTCTCTACATCTTTTTCTATTCTTTTGTACTTGTTCTGAATAATCCAAACTGGTTTTAATTTAGTGCATGGTTCCTTCTTGTGCTTGATATAAACGAAGTGCTTAATATTAGACATATTTATTTCACTATGCTTTTTGTCCTTCTCCTGTCCTGTCTCGGTTTGCATTTTTTCTCTTTATAATTTTTCTTTGAGGAACAAACAATTCTTTAATTTCTTTTCTCCAGACTCCTTTCCAAAGAGATTATGCCCACAGTCCTCTCATACCCCCCTGAAACCTGTTGTTCTGACTCTTTTACCTCATTCCCTCCCTGAAATCTGTGACTCCTGTCATCACAGGGTAACTCACTCAACCTGCCTTTTCTCTCCCCATTCTTGCAACAGTTTCTCCCTTAGAGTTGGTATCAAATATAATAGCTTCCCTTTTGATTGCTTTTCCCACCATCTCAAACTTTGGTTTTAAGTGCACTGCAAAACATGTCAGGCAGCTGGTATTCTCCTTTATTGGCCTCTAGCAGATGACTGATTGATTTAAATCCCTCACTATCACCATCCCCCGTACCCTGACAATAGCAAATACCCTGATCTATCTGATCTCTTCGGTGGTCTGTGCAATGCCTGTGTAACAACGGAGCCCATGAGCTTTTCCCCTGTTAGTATTACTCAGAGCATTGGCACGTCTAACTCCCTCTATGGTTGGGTCACAGAACAAGTGTCTGAACCAAAACATGCAACAGCCTCTCCCTCCTCCCTGTCCTCTAACCATGTCTTTCCTATGCTAGTTCAGCCACAGTGTTGTTCATGGATTGAGATTTGGTGTCCTCTCGTTTATTCCCCATACTTCCTATATTATTATACAAACAACTTATGAAGTAGTGACCTGGTAGATGCATTAACCTCCTCATTACCAAACCCAATTAAGATGATTTCATGGTAAAGCATATCATCACATGTATTATTAAACACACTCCCACAGGAAGTTCTGGTCCTCACTGTATCATGCACTCAGCTAAAATGTCACCTTTATAAAACTTGACATCTTCAAAAACGTGGAGAAATTTGACAGAAGTCCCTCTGGAACTGACTGAAAGATTCTTATGCAGTTTACTAGGAACTGGATTTGGTCCCAAATAATTACAAATGCCCACAAAAGGAAGTCTGCAATCTCTTGAACGACTATAGTACTTTACCTCTACATAAACAAAATTCCTACCAACTATTTAATGGTACTATAGTTACTACAATCTTGTCAGAAATAAACTTTCGGGGATTTTATTTAAATAGCAACAATAATAACATGCCAAGTAAGCACCATATAAGCACCAAGTAAGCACCTTTGTTTCAGCTGGTATCAGACTGTGCCCTAGTGCACACGTGTATACGGGAGCCAACAAATCTGTGTCATAGTACAGTGTGCTGCTGGGTGTATGAATAGTCTGTCTCAACCTGATGTACAGGTACATCCTTACCTCTGATAAAACCTCTACATCGAAAAAGTTATACAAACCAGGAATTTAATTTAATAGCTTTGATATAGTTATCCCAGAACTGATAGGTCTCAGAGGGCCTGGCTAAACACTTAACAGCCTTCCAGACCACACAAAGGAAACCGAATTTAGCCTCATCCATGCCCACCCTGATTCATCTTATCAGTCCCTTTCACATAGCCTGAAGCAGGATCAGTCCAGAAACAGAGTGTGTTCCTGAGCTATTCTGTGTCAGTTTGTGTCTCTGCTCTAAGGTCACTCTTCTCTGCTAGCAACTCATTTCAGTCAATCTCATTAGCTACTATCAGCAGGTGCCTCCATTCAATATTTCTTCTCTATCACTGGTTACAGACAATATATTTAAGAACTGCAGTTTCTTGTGCTAGTGCCCATATACCCGAATTCTATAAGGACTTCTTTTTATCATCTGTGACAAGAAACTTAACACTTCTGGTCACAAATCCGTATTTAATTTTGCCTAGGCTTATCTTTTTGCAATAATCAGGGATGCATCTTTCATTAGAGTCACAACTTAAAAATTACACCAACGCTGTGGATCTGCTGTTTTATGGCATTTCCTTTCCTTCATTGCTTATTTCAGTAACATTAATTTCTAAGTGCATGCCACTAGATGTCTCATGGAAAAGCTTGATACATTTTATTTTGATTCTTAAAATACAGCCTCTGACATTACTATGGTGCACTGAATTTCATGACATGAACACTGGGGTTTGGCACACAAGAATCCCACTGACATAAACCATCTAAAGCTAAGTGAGATGCCTCTTAGGTAAACATCCACATCTGCACAAGTCATCTGGATTCCAACTACAGTCAATGCAGAGAAACCAGCACGTTTACGAAGAGATTTATATGATCTGTATTACATGTCCAGATTAGATGAGATTAATTAAAAATGTGACTAATTGGCTGAGATAAATACTATCCCTCTTGAGATGAGTCCTAGTAGTTACAATAAGCTGCAAGACTGGTTTTCCCCACTTCTCCTTATAGCATATATTTCCTGGAAAACAAAGAATTTCATCATATGATGCTGACAGGTTGTTCATGTGATAGCACACCTTCTGTATTTATTTCGTATATTCTGTGGTCCCCATCTCTTTTGTCTAAGCCTTGATTGGCACCACAGACATTAATGATTCTGAACCATTGCACTGCTGGTGGCTGCAATACTCACTGTGTTCAGTATTTTATTTTTCTACCTCTCTAGCTCATTCCACGCTCCCAACAGTACCTGGTGACTTTATCACACTCAAATGTCCTGCCACATTTTGCTACAAGTCACTGCTGAATGCAATACTCACACATCATTGCTCAAAAAGCAGTCCTAATACTGTTCTTAGGGACCTATTTCATCCCATGTAGAATTATGGCATTAACAAATAGTGACACAAACACTGTACATATTTCTCCATTGGTTGCTAAGCTCAACTAAGTGAAATTATTTTTATTTGCTTTTTCCAGGTGAGGGTTACATTTCACATATATCCATCCAAGATGGATATAAACACAAACAAGCCCAAACACATCAACACAAAGCATTTGTAGGAAAAAATCTGAACTGTCAAAAGGCAGTGCATTATGAAAACACACATGCACTGAAATCTGCACACAGCTCAAGATGGATTGCTTTGTCAGCAAGAAGAGGTAAGCTTTTAGAATTTCTAACTCATCACTCCAAGTGATGAGTGGTTTTCAGCTGGTAAATATGTGTTATATTCAAAATCAGCAACACAGTCACTTCAGACATGAATGAATTCTAAAATGAAAATTAACATGCAGTTAGTAATTGTAAGATCACAAAACATGTTAGTCATGCTCTCTCTATTGCCTTGATGTATCAGGAAATAAGGTTATCAATACATAAATGAATGGAAATTCACATATAATTACTGAATATTTTATTATACTCAAAACATGGCAGGAAAAATAGTCAATATGTGTGTACCCTTTCCAAAGTACAGAACCTCTGAGTTGTAAAGCATATTAGAAAGAATTTCTCAAGAGAAGAAGAGCTGTGGAAATATTTTTTCATCCTATTCAGGGTAAATCAAGACCACAGTTTTGCCAGCATGACTATCAGGGGGGAGCATGAAAATAGACCACCTCTACCTGCTGTAGCTACACCAGCATGTCTTACATCTCTACAAACATCCCTGACTATGACAGCTATGCCCATCCCCTCATACAGCAAAAATGCCACTTCCCTAGTTTAACTCTATGAGAATTGCTAAGGTGACTTAATGGCAGTGTGAGATTTTTTTCCAGTTTGTCGGGATTTACTTCTCCTGCATGAGAAACACGGTGCACAGAGACTCCTTGCATGGCAGATAGTAGTTTCAAACTAGACTAGAGAAATACTACTGGATCTCCAAAGTTTCTGTGTCAGAAACCCACTTTTTTAACATCTCACCAGTTCCTACCACTACAGGAGGAACTAGGAAGAGAGCCCCAGCCCCCAAAGTCCCAATTCCATAATTACTTTTTATTTAAACAAAAGCAACCCTCTGGGGTGATGGCAATGAGATATAACCAGTTGCACTATCAAGTACTATATTACTTCTATTTTCCTGGTTTTGACTGGACCACATGGAAGATGAAATTGAAGAGCTGTAAGTAAACGTAAGGACTGAAGAACATCCTAGAGAAAGGAGATCAACTTTCTCCTCTATCTGAGCATACAATAAGATGAGGTATAATTTATCTGATTCCACATATGATATAATAAGGCAGTACTAACTGACTCTGCTGCTGAGACCCACCATTTGTGCAAAACCCTGGACATATTCCAAGAAGTTTACTTTAAATACACCCAGGATCGGTGGGGCTATCATTTCCCATGATACTGTCAGAAAGAAGGAGCCTACTCCTGATGGGGTCACTATACTGAAACTTTATCCAGGCATAATTAGGTGAATACACAGAATGCCTAATACTTTGCAATTCTGTGTCATAATTCTTTTAGACATAGAACATTTACATCACAAACATTACCCAAATTGGAATAAAAGTATTCATACTCAGAAAAAAAAGGTCTGGCAAACACAGAGACATGCATATTCTAGGGATTTCCTCACATGCAATAAACTAAAATTGAAGAAATTCCCCTCCAATCTACCAGACTTAGGGGGTAACAACTTTTGAGTGGTCGACTACCTAGCACAAATCACTAAGTGCTCAGAATACCAGTCTAAAAATCCAGAGCTGGATAAAATCCAGGCAGCTTGTTTCTTCTTAATTATCAGGAAGGTGGTCTTCAGTTCATTAGGCAGGAATTGATTGAATCAGAGTCTTGGGAGCACTGCCAAGGCAGTCTGTTTCAGGATCAGCTTCTCATGCAGGACAGTTCCACTCTTGCTTTCAGTGCACAGACTCAAATTCTCCAAAGACTGCCTCATAGTCATAGTCATGAACACCCACCAAGCACCAGGCTTGTGCTCAGCACTATGCAGCTCTGTGGCAAAACCTTTGCCAGAGCTAGAAGACCTTGCTCAGGAAGCACTACATGCTTGAAAGAAATCAAAAGACTCACACAATCAACTTTTCTACAGCATTTTCTCTTGGCCATCTGCTACCAATGCTATTTCTAACGAGCAGAACCATAAGCTATTTCCTTCAGCATTTCTAAATAACATGAAGTGTCTAATATAATACATAGCATCTCAAATGAGGTCCATGCCAATAGTGAGTCACAAAGCCTCCCAAGGATTCTGCGTTCAAAAGTCCGCATGGGTTTATTCATATTTCCCCAATCCTCTCGCCAAAGCAGGAATTCCATCAGGATGGTACTGATCACTATGAAAGCCCATTTGAAGAAACATGACAGCCCACACAAGACATTTTTTGATAACTATCCCTGTTAAGTTATTCTTGTGTGGGCAACCTTTGCACAAGTTCCCTAAAATTATTTGGTATGTAAAAGTGAAAATTCAGATGTATTAGACAACAGTACCTTTTTCTACTTCAGAGTCCAAAGCACTCTGCATCACAGGTAGCACACTCACTGCTGGGTCAAAGATGCACACTCTGCCCTGAAATCATAGGGGTTTGAATCACTAAATAGGTTCCTTCACAGAAACTGTCTATTCGAACTTCAGCACAAGGAGCTAAAAGACTTTCCTATTTTTAAATAGGGCACCAGAAAGGACCTTTAACAGAATTTCCCTAAGGACTTGCATAGTACTCAGTCCTCTTTCTAGTCCTATTTCAGTTCTTTCCATAATCGTGTAATTTGTCAAGATGGAGCTAAAAAAAACCAGCCAGGCTTCTGGCTGATGGTAGGAGACAGTTTCACTTGGCATCTCAGGACGTGCTTGATTTCATCTGTCTGGCTGGTGAAAACCAGCACAAACACACATTACAGTGTCCAGAACACTGCAGGTAGTTATTAAACAATAAAATCATTACAAAAGTAAGATGTACTTCCACTAGAAAACTTTGCCAGTATACACCATGGACTATAGTACTTACTCTATAAGCTTTCCCAATATAGCATATGGAGTAGCAAAACATATAGCGACATATTGTACTCTGATGTTGACTCGTATAACCTTCTGTTCCCATTCTCATACAAGTCCCAGCAGTTCACAGTGCTACAGTGTGTTATTTGGGATGTAGCTAAAATATGCATAAATATTTGACAAACTATGAGCAGACACAGAGCTCTTTGCATACATTTCAACTTTATATTTGCTAATACTACAGAATAGAAACAGAAATGCACCCAGCTCTTCCTGCCATATTTAGCACTTCAAACATCAATTGCAGGTATTTTTTCTTATTGAACAGCCAGCATTAGGATGATATCAGTGTCTACATTATTTTCCCACCAGAAAAGTCATGCCTTACTTACAATGTGAGCAAATATAAAATGCAGCTATTAAAAAAACATATTCTGAACAATGAAATGTAATCTTTTTGCTATTTTGTAACCCATTTCAAGTGGGTTAAAAATGAAAACTGTGTGCAGAAAGAAACCAATTTACAAACCTAGCACGGTAAAACATTAGGTTATCAATAGAGCAGAACAAAAGAATAGAAAATGGGGGAAAAAAGTACAAGTTGAGAGAAAAGCCAGAAAAGGAAGCACTCAAATTCTGGCATTATGAGAAGACATTGATGGACAAATGTAAGAATCAGTAAGACATAGGACACTGTGGGTAGAAAGAACTAAGAATTATTGGGGAAAAAGAAAAAAAAATCTAAAATCATAGAAGTAATTTAAGTTTATCTGGACAGGTTTTGGTAGCTGGGGGGGCCTGCAGGGGTGCCTTCTGTGAGAAGTTGCCAGAAGCTTTCCCATGTCTGGATGGAGCCAATGCCAGCTGGCAACAAGATGGACCCACCACCAGCCAAGGCTGAGCCCATCAGCGGCAGTGGTAGCACCTCTGGGATAATGGATTTAAGAAGGGGAAAGAACCTGCTGTGAAACAGCAGCCAGAAGAGAGGAGTGAAAATGCATGAGAAAATCTGTGTTACAGATCTGCAAAGAGTTATGAAAAAAAAAGGTGGTGGTTGTTTTAAGGAACCACATATTATGGCTTTTATATGCTGGTGTTTAAAGACCAACACAAGATCTTGATATGCCATAGGAAGGATATAGTGAGGGAAAGAAAATTATTAGGAGTGACACACAAGGAAAATAATTACTGGTGACTGGACATGTAAAGATATGAGAAGATTCATGAAAGTAGAAAAAATTTAGATTAAGGGCAGGCAACAGAAGGGAGAGTAGAGACAAGGTCAAAACTATTGACTCTGACAAGCTTGTCTCAGTGTCCTGCCAGCGGACTGAACTGATTTGACCAAGACAAGGGGAAAAACCTACCAACAGCAGTATTACAGTATGATAGTATGGTATATAGCACGATTGATATAGTCTGATCAATCATCCAGCAAAATGGGGAAGGTGGAAATAATACCAAATCCAGAATACTCCAATGAACCTCTGGGATGATATCTAAGGCATAAATGCAAGCGTTCCTCAGAGGCACATGTCAAAGCCTGTGATCCCACATACGGGGTAGACTTGGTTAGGGCAGCTAAGGGAGCGCAAAATTCAATCTCAGGCAAAATTCGATCAACAGGTTTCACAGAGTGCCCTGCATCTATATGGCATTCAGAATAGCAAGCTGAGAATAGGCACCTAAAAAAGAGGTGGAATTATCCTTTTAAAAGAATGGTTGCTATAGCAAAGTTACCTTTGGTTTTCACAGCTATGGGACCAAGGGAAGGAAGCTTGAATCTACCTTTCCCATTTTCCAGAACTGCCCTACATTCTACATTACAAAGTACTCCGTAAGGAGATGCTCCTCAGTCCTCCTTGACCCAGGCTGCTAGGCAAAATGAAACGAGGGAATAAGCTAATGGAACTTGTCTCCTGGAATTTTATTGTGCTGATTTTAGGTGGCTTTGGTCAAATGGGTAAGTCATGCTCACATAATCCTCTATAAGAAATATGATAAACCAAACTTACTAAAGAGGTTCCAGATATAACAGGAAGACAGGTAGACAAAAACATTATGGAAAATATTTCTGCCAAGTTTTGAAATGGTTGATTTTGAACATCTGTTTTCTCAACAATTCCAGAAAATTAATTTAAGACTTTTCGCTGACAGGATTCTTTTCAGAGAGACAAAGGAAGTTCAGAAGACAAATAAAAACTATAAAATAATATATATGCTCTTTTACTTTTTTGTAGTCAAAATATAAACTGCTGTTATGAAATAATACTGGTAACTACATACTGAGGTAAGAAAGCAAGCACCCACATAGCAATCAGTACATGCTCACCTGCATTTGTAATGATGCAGACAACTATAACAAGCCAAAAGATGGCCTACAAATATTATAATTTCAAGAACAGGGACTGTAATCATCCTGAGAACACAGATTACCACATTTATATTCCTTAATTATACAAGTTGTCCACAACTGTGTGACTACTTATCAATCAGAACAAGAAAGAAGGCACTGAGGTCTCACAGAAGTGATCTTTTCCTAAAAGGTAAGAAACATCAAGCCTCCACTCCTTCAGCTAACAACCTGTCACTACTTGAAACTATATTTCTCAGAAAGTCCTTAATCAATGGTAAATACAGGCAGTGCACTCTAATGACTAAACAAAAAAAATGCATTTTTTATTTTCAGCTTTCTAAACACCCTCTACCCCTCCCACACATACACATTTGGTACCATTATGAACTAAATACTACTGTATTCAAAAGACTAAATGGATCTAAACACACACTGATCAATCTTTTTCCTGCATACTGTAAAGCCAGATTTATTTCTCTTTCTATCTGTAGATATTGCAGACATCCACAGTGCTGTTTCATTCCCTTGTCTTCTACAATTACAGGAAGACACAAAAAGGCTGGATGAGGTGTCACCAACACACATAGGATGCTCCAAGATATATTATGCTGGTCACCACCACTTAACTCCATTTTCTCAGTACCTACTTAAAACCACATTGCACTTGAAGAAAAGATGAACCCAGGAAAAACTAACATATGTATGTAGGAGAAGTTCACTGATGAACACAATATGACCTCAAACAGCATCAGACTTGCAAGAGACAGTTGGTTTCAATTTCCCAGTCTACTCCATACCTAAATGACTGTGATGACAAAAGCATCCTTGTCCACCTGCAGTTGACCAAGAAAGATAGTGCTTTTTTCACTAGAAGAAGAAAGGACTAAACTGCATGAATGGCCTCCTCACTTCAGCAACAAATCTCTAATAATTACATCACATTATCTTGGAAAAAGCTGGCCACATCTCCACAAATACTTTGCTGCTATATTTCCGTCCCTGTTCCAGCATTCTCCATTTTCTGCAGAGCTCCTTGTTTTACACAAACCTCAACCCCTAGTCTCTTGCCTTAATACACAAGATCTCCACTGGGACCAGCTCTTGCATTCCCCTGCACAACCATGGCCTAGCACCATTTCAGCAGAAAAGGAAACTGTCAGACAACAGAAGAAAGCTCACAAATGCACATACAGCAAATTTCTCAGCAACTGAATCCACATCAGAAAACCTCTGAACAAAAGTGGACTTGCCATTTTGAAAATGAAACATAAAATTCTAAGCTAGTTTCCTTTGGTCAACTCTGCATGCAAAACAGATCCACACATGAATTATTCTTACTGAATGGAAGGAAGGAAAGATTTTTATTTCTATTTTTACTTCATGAGAGGAGAGATAATAACATATATCTCCTCTGTAAACTACAATTAATTCCTTTAAATGTGGAGGGGGGGAATAAAAACCCTAATGTGAGCCAGATACGTCACATTTACTAAAACCAATATCCTAGGAAATCACGTATCCCAGGTAACCACTTTTCAGAACAGCTCCTAGAGTTACAGCACAAATTAAACAAAGAGTTAATATCTCACTTTGCCAGGTGCTAGAATTCAGGCTTACAGTGAAGTCTTTTTCTCCCAGAAAATGAAGTACCTACAGCTGCTTTTCAGCAACAACTCTGTTAAATATCAAAGAATAAATGAACCCTTAGGGTGAGACACAGTGACATCCAGCTTCTTTAGCCAAAACAGTTATTTGTAACAGAATGTTCTTTTAGGGATCAAACTTAGAGGGAATGATCAAGGCCATAGAGAAAGATGAAGGAACCCCAAGGAAATTATATTCCTTTATAAATGCCCTGTGTCTAAGTAGCAGTGCTAAAGAACTTCTTGATTTAATTTGTATACAGTTCCCTTCAGACTTCTAGAAATTTCAGGTTTAATGATCAAATAATCATTTCATATAAAAGTTACCAAGATAACAGCACAGCTAGGAGATAACAAAAATATCCTTGTTGAATGAACCAGACTGCTGAGGTACCCACTGCTGGTATGCTAAATAAAGCTATTCTAATTCTAAAGAAAGAGAAAACAATAAAAAGCAATAAAAATTAAAACTGCTGCAAGTAAACAGTTCCAGGCTTGGACTGCTGTAATAAATGAATTTGAAGGTACTACACCTGGTGTAACCATTTACAC